TGGTCTCGATCTCTTGACCTCGTGATCCACCCGCCTCGGCCTCCCAAAGTGCTGGGATTACAGGCTTGAGCCACCGCGCCCGGCCGTAATATACATTAATACACGAGAGCATGTTAAAGAGTGCCCAGTACATGGTAAGCACTATGTAAATGTCTGAGATTACTGAGCTATGTGTAATAAGTAACCCAAGTATTTCCACACTGATTACAACCCTCACAATCTTTATTCTGCACTGAGGACATTTAACACTCCTATAACTAGCTCACCCTACAGTTTTCTCTCTACATGGTAAACAAATATTTAATCCAGAACTCCTCTCTGACTACACTAGAACTTTCCCATGAAGCAAAGTTTGAGTAATGGTGCTCCACTATTCAATGGAAATGCTACTGCCAGAGCTTACATGCTCCCACTTGCTCTCCCCACCTAGAGAACATTCATTTACCATGATACACACACACCTCAGAGTCAAAATTCATCCTTTGCATCCTCCTCCACTCTCCCAACACCACCAGCTCATTATTCCAAGAAGCAAGCTTTGTTGAAGAGCTGGTCCATTTCAAGGCATGGGGAGACTCCTGATGGTGCAATATTTTCTGGAATCATCTCAGACTAATTAGATGGAAGAAGTCCAAAATGTCACAGAAGCTGCTAGGTTTAAAGTTTATACAGGCTGGGCGTGGTGGCTCATGCCTGTAATCCCAGCACTTTGGGAGGCTGAGGTGGGTGGATCGCTTGAGGTTGGCAGTTTGAGACCAACCTGGCCAACATGGAGAAACCCCATTCTACTAAAAATACAAAAAAATTGCCAGGTGCGGTGGCTCATGCCTGTAATCCCAGCACTTTGGGAGGCCACGGCGGGCAGATCCCGAGGTCAAGAGATCAAGACCGAGGCCGGGCGCAGTGGCTCATGCCTGTAATCCCAGCACTTTGGGAGGCCGAGGTGGGTGGATCACCTGAGGTCAGGAGTTCAAGACCAGCCTGGCCATCATGGTGAAACCCCATCTTAAAACAAAAAAAAGAGAGAGATCAAGGTCATCCAAGCCAACATGGTGAAACACCGTCTCTGCCAAAAAATACAAAAATTAGCTGGGCGTGGTGGCGCACGCCTGTAGTCCCAGCTACATCAGGAGGCTGAGGCAGGAGAATTGCTTGAACCCGGGAGGTGGAAATTGCAGTGAGCCAAGATTGCGCCACTGCACTCCAGCCTGGCGCCTGGGGACAGAGCAAGACTCTGTCTCAAACAAAACAAAACAAAAAAAATTAGACAGGAGTCTGTAAAAAATTACAGACAAGTAGTCTGTAATCCCAGCTACTTGGGAGGCTGAGGCAGGAGAATTGCTTAAGCCGGGAAGGCAGAAGTTGTTGTAGTGAACCGAGTTCGTGCCACTGCTTTCCAGCCTGGGCAACAGAGCAAGTATCTGTCTCAAAAATAGTAATGTTTATACTCAAGTTGCAAATTAATTTTCAGAAATCCACTTCCAGAGTGAAGAATCAGAATCCCTTGATGTTCTAATTATTCAGCTGGAACCAAGAACTAAACTAAAAATGGATACACAACTTTGCCACGTTTCCCAGGCTCTAATGCTCTGAAAAGAACATTATATTTTAGAGCATATATATTATAAAAATAGCTAACCTAAACATTGCCTGACTTTGAAAGTCTCAAGAAGGCATTCACTTGTTCAAATATTCACCTCAAATATCCTGCCTTAAAGATACACAACTCTTCACTCTTCACACATCCAATAAATCAGATTCTGATTTTCTTTTCTTTTTTCCTTTTTTGAGATGGTGTTTCGCTATTGTTGCCCAGGCTGGAGTGCAATGGCATGATCTCGGCTCACTGCAACCTCTGCCTCCTGGGTTCAAGCGATTCTCCTGCCTCAGCCTCCCCAGTAGCTGGAATTACAGGCATGCACCACAATGCCCAGCTAATTTTTTGCATTTTTAATAGAGACGAGGTTTCTTAATGTTGGTCAGGCTGGTCTCGAACTCCCCACCTCATGTGATCTGCAACCTTGGACTCCCAAAGTGCTGAGATTATAGACATAAGCCACCACACATGGTCTTTTATTTTTTATTTATTTTTTTAAAGACAGAGTCTCACTCTGTTGCTCAGGCTGAAGTGCAGTGGAGCCATGTTGGCTCACTGTAACCTCCACTGCCCAGCTTAAGTGTTCCTCCCACTTTAGCCTCTAGAGCAGATGGGATTACAGGCACATACCACCACGCCCGCTAATTTTGTATTTTTTGTAGAGATGGGGCCATATTGTCTAAGCTGTTCTCAAAACTCCTCGCCTCAAGCAATCCACCTGCCTAGGCCTTCCAAAATGCGAGATTATAGGCATGAGCCACCTTCCACAGCTTGGATTCTGATTTTTATTTTATTTATTTATTTTTTTGAGATGGAGTTTCCCTCTTGTTACCCAGGCTGGAGTGCAATGGCGCGATCTCAGCTCACTGCAACCTCCGCCTCCTGGGTTCAGGCAATTCTCCTGCCTCAGCCTCCTGAGTAGCTGGGATTACAGGCACGAGCCACCATGTCCAGCTAATTTTTTGTATTTTTAGTAGAGACGGGGTTTCACCATGTTGACCAGGATGGTCTTGATCTCTTGACCTCGTGATCCACCCGCCTCGGCCTCCCAAAGTGCTGGGATTACAGGCTTGAGCCACCGCGCCCGCCTGGATTCTGATTTTTAAAAATGAAAATAGATAACTCTTCTTTCCGGCTATCCCTAGATCTCAACTCGTTCAATTTAACAAAACATGCAAGGCCGGGCGCGGTGGCTCAAGCCTGTAATCCCAGCACTTTGGGAGGCCGAGGCGGGTGGATCACGAGGTCAAGAGATCAAGACCATCCTGGTCAGCAAGGTGAAACCCCGTCTCTACTAAAAAAACACAAAAAAGTAGCTGGGCATGGTGGCGCTTGCCTGTAATCCCAGCTACTTAGGAGGCTGAGGCAGGAGAATTGCTTGAACCCAGGAGGCGGAGGTTGCGGTGAGCCGAGATCGCGCCATTGCACTCCAGCCTGGGTAACGAGAGCGAAACTCCGTCTCAAAAAAAAAAAAAAAAAAAAAAAGTAACAAAACATGCAGATTTTCTTGAATGACTATCCGATTTGAAACCAACAAAGCAGCAGCCCTCAGCACAGCCTGAGCATTAGCCAACCAGAAGCAGATAGGCGCTATACCGCAAACGTCCACTTTCAAACAAAATAAAGCTTGCCATCTGCATACTATATCCTTTCTATCATAGCAACAAAACAGCTGCTCTCTCTTCATTTGATTCTAGAAGAAAAAGATATAAGTAGCTTTACGATTGAAAGTGAGATAATCAGATTAAGTTTTTTTTTTTTTTTTTTTTTTTTAAGAGCTCTGCCTGTGCCCTTGACTTATGGATTATCTCCCCACTCCATGGAAGTCAAAAATCCACGTAAAAATACCCATGAGGCTGGGCCCAGGGGCTCACACCTATAATCCCAGCACTTTGGGAGGCTGAGGCGGATGGATCACCGGGTCAGGAATTCATGAACAGCCTGGCCAAGATGGTGAAACCCCATCTCTACTAAAAGAAAATACAGCCGGGCGCGGTGGCTCAAGCCTGTAATCCCAGCACTTTGGGAGGCCGAGGCGGGTGGATCACGAGGTCGAGAGATCGAGACCATCCTGGTCAACATGGTGAAACCCCGTCTCTACTAAAAAAACACAAAAAAGTAGCTGGGCATGGTGGCGCTTGCCTGTAATCCCAACTAGTCAGGAGGCTGAGGCAGGAGAATTGCTTGAACCCAGGAGGCAGAGGTTGCGGTGAGCCAAGATCGCGCCATTGCACTCCAGCCTGGGTAACAAGAGCGAAACTCCGTCTCAGAAAAAAAAAAAAAAAAATACAAAATTTAGTAGGGCATGGTGGTGGGCACCTGTAATCCCAGCTACTCGGGAGGCTGAGGCAGAGAATTGCTTGAACCTGGGAGGAGGAGGTTGCAATGAGCCAAGACTGCACCACTGCACTCCAGCCTGGGCAACACAGCGAGATTCTGTCTAAAATATTTTAAACCTAAAATAAAATTCTAAGAAAGTCTATGGCTAAACTGACCTTTCTTAACCAAATGTAAATCTTATTTGTGTGTTTTTCTGAAAAAACCATTCGAAGCCGGGCACAGTGGCTGGTGTCTGTAATCCAAGCACTTTGGGAGACTGAGGCCATTGCATCACGAGGTCAGGAGTTCAAGACCAGCCTAGCCAACATGAAGAAACCCTGTTTCTACTAAAAACATAAAAATTAGCCAGGTGTGGTGGTGCATGCCTGTAATCCCAGCTACTCAAGAGGCTGAGGCAGGAGAATCGCTTTAACCCAGGAGGCAGAGATTGCAGTGAGCCAAGATCATGCCACAGCACTCCAGCCTGAGTGACAGAGAGACACTGTCTCCAAAAAAATAAAAAAAGGATAAGAAAAGAAGGAAAAGAAAAACCATTCAGATCCAAAAAGTATTGCTGCCTTTCAGGTGGTAGATAATAAAATTTAGACGTGAGATAAGAAAACAATTGGAAGCTACTGAAATCTAAAGAAGCCCTGGGAAAAGAAGGCCAGATGTCTGGTCACTTCCCCAGTTACACAAACATATGCATTTCCTAGATCCTTTCTGAGTCTATACAGGTCTGCGAAGGTGATGACACCTCTCAACCCAAAGTATGAGAGAACCCTGGCCGGTGAGAGGGTACCTGGGAAGTGGGGAGTCTGCTTGCTACAAAACCCTAGCGAAGCTCGCAGGGACCTTCAGATAAAGACCAGGAACCACACAACATCGACTCCCTCCTACAGCACCGAACTGTCTGCTCTGAGAACCAAATATCCCACCCTCTCGTGGCTCCGGAGGTACCCACCACTGTTTTACTTATTCCACATATTCCCAGTCCTGAGCAATTCTAACCCCAGAGCTGGACCTTCAAGAGACCACAAAAGCCAAATAGGCCATAATAAGTAGAATAAGCAGAGTCGCTTACAAACAGGATCTTCCATTTTCAAGGGTCTTTTCAAACGGATGCTGGCAGGGACCGTCTTCTCGATCAGTTCATCAATGCTCTAAAATTAAAACACAAGACAGGGGAAAGTGCCTCTGAGTTAAAAGAGTCACTTCTGTGTTTTGCGACTACAAAGGCTTGTGGGAACCTCATTTAAATCGCCTAATTAGGGTTCTTTTTAAAAGAGAAAAGGAAAACTTTGAGCAAACCAGAATCACTTGGAGGAAAGAAAATCATAAAGCGGGGTGGCGATTCAGCCACTCAGGGTGTCATTTCAGTTGCAACCGGAGCTAGCTGGTAAGCCCATCCTCTTAACCGGGGTGGGGGGGGGGGTCCTTCTCCTCTTGCAAAGTTAGGGCCCATCCACGGGTCTACTTGCGCTGGGGCGGTTCAAAAATGTACAGTTTTGAGGCATGAAGACTGGGTGCAGGAGAAAGTAAGCGAGTGAGAGAAGGCACGAGGACCAAAGGCACGAATTCGCTTCCACGCCACGGCCCGGGATCCAGGGTTCGGGAGGCAAGTGGAGCGCAGCAGGGCTCAGGGCGGGAGCCAGGAGGCCGCGCGGGCAGAACCCGGGCCAGGAGCAGGGGAGGCCGCGGAGGGCCAATGGAGGTCCTTACCGCCAGCCCCAAGGTCTGCAGCATCTCTTTCTGGTCTTTGTCCCCAGGGCCGATGTGCCTCCGAGCGAAGTCGTCGTGTCTGGGCAGAAGGCGCTCCAGGAGGCGCGAGGCCCCAGCCGCGGCGTCGTCCCCGCTGCCACTGCTGCTGTCCCGGCCCCGCGGCGCCCAACACGGCCCGGATCCCCCAGCTAGGCGGCGGCAGCCCCCGATCCCGCGGCCCAGGCGCAGCCCCCACGCCCTGGCACAGGACTGCATGGCCGCGGCCACCGTCGCCTGCCCCGGTCCTCAAGGGTGAGCCGCGCTCTCAGCCCCTCTGCTGGCCTCGGTGCCCTGGGTAGCGGCTGCGTCGGGCCTGGAGCCCCTTTCGCTGGACCGCCGGCCGGACAGATGGAGAGACGCCTGCGGGCAATGAATGAGCGCCGCGCTCAGCCAAGTCACTCTCGCAAAGTTGCTGCTCCACCCAAGGCACCTGCTCCGCACACTTTAAGCGGCGTCCCGGAGGCGGGAGGTGGGACGGGGCCAGGAAGCCCTTGGCCAATGAAAGTAGATAGAGGGGAGGGGGCAGAACAGTTCCCGCCCCCTCCCCCCTCCCCCTCCCCAGTTCCCAGTCCCTCCGCAGAGTCCCGCTTCCCCGGGCCCAGAGGCTGCCATCTCCAGTCCTGCCCATTCTATCGCTGGCTGTTGCTGGGGACCGGGACCCTCCGTGCGCCCCTTCCAGGGTGTGGAGCCGCACTGGTGCGGGATCAGGAGCGGGCAGCCTTAAGACTCCGGGCGAAGATCCTGGGGGACTCAGCGGAGATGGAAGATGATTCTCGCAGCTCTTCATTTCTTTAATTTTAAGGTATCTTTACCAGTCACATCTCATCTCAGGAAAATTAATATGGGCTGTTGGCAGTTCTTTTATCGTTGCGGGGGCGTGGGCAAGTTACTCAACCTCTCTGAGCTTTAGTTTTCTCATCTCAACAGAGCTGGGTGGGATTTTAAAAAGAGATGATATGTACGTGAAAGCACTTGAACACTAGATTTGAACTCTCTCTCTCTCTCTCTCTCTCTCTCTCTCTCTCTCTCTCCATATATATATATATATATATATATATATATATATATACACATAGTTTGTTTTTGAAATGGAGTCTTGCTTTGTCACCCAGGCTGGAGTGCAGTGGTGCAATCTTGGTTTACTGCAACCTCCACTTCCTGGGTTCACGAAGTTCTCCTGTCTCAGCCTCCCGAGTAGCTGGGATTACTGGTTTGTGCCACCATGGCTGGCTAATTTGTATTTTTAGCAGAGACAGGGTTTCACCATATTGGCCAGGCTGGTCTCCAGCTCCCTTCCTCAAGTGATCCGCCCACCTCATCCTCCCAAAGTGCTGGGATTACAGGCTTGAGCCAATGTGCCCAGCCTCTATATATGTTTTCTTTATCTCTCGCTCTGTCTCTCTCCTCCTGCCTCCCTCCCTCTCTCTCCCCTCCTTCCTTTCCCTCCCCCCTTCCTCTCCCTCTCCCCCTCTCCTCTCCCCTTTTCTCTCTCTCTCTCTCTCACTGTAATATAATGGCCAGGCCCTGTGGAGTTTGAGACCAGCCAGGGCAACATTGTGAAACTCGGTCTATACAAAAAATACAAAAATTGGCCAGGTGTGGTGGTGAGTGCCTGTAATCCCAGCCACTCATGAAACTAAGGCAGGAGAATCGCTTGAACCGGGGAGGCAGAGGTTGCAGTGAGCCAATATTGTGCCATTGCACTCCAGCCTCAGCAACAGAGGTTGCTGTTTAAAAAACAATTAAAATTCTGTTTATTACTACCATTAGGCTATACACTTCACCAGCTTTCTTCAATTCATCCTCCATCCAAGGAAGAACTTGTTTGATCACTTATTGAAATCAAGATGTATTTCATTATATTTTATAATTCGTTTTTCTAATGATCACGAAGAATGAAACTACGTGTGTGTGTAAAAGTGTAAAGGATATTAAGATACACATTTTTCACTGTCATCTTACTTTGAAAGTTAGCCATCTAGAACTGGATTTTTTGTAAACCTACCATCTCCAGCTGTCTCATGACAGTTTTAGCAAGAGAATGAACTTTTAAAATTCCAGTTGTTCTAATATGGGGAAGAGACCACAGAAATAATCCAAACATTGCTTGTATTTAAACTAGGGGGAAATAGAACCTGTTCTCTTTCTCGCTTGTCTGCTGTTTCCTCCTCCAGTCATCCTTAAGAGACTCTGGGCTCTGTACCCAGGAGGCACAGACTATTCAGAAAGGCAGGAAAGTAGAGATGGAAAAGAGGGCAGGAAAATATACCACAAAGAACAGTAGGTAAAATGTCTGTGTGGCAGGCAGAGGCAGGTGGTGAGCTGGGAGGGCTGGACTGAATGTCTCTGAAGTTTTCCATCCATTTGGAATTGAAATTACAGACTTCATAGAAGTTGGGAGATCCTCTCAGTGCCAGATGGTAGCAGTTGTGGGGAAGGATTGGAGGGAAAAGGTAATCTGCGTGTATTCCTATACCTGTCTATGTTCTTTCTATGTATCAGAGGGACTGGAAGCCAGGGAACAATAATTCCCAGATCCCTTTGGCTCCACGATGATGGATGTTATTTGCCTTTTGCCAAAAAATATATGTATGTATGAGAATTGGAGCCCGGCACAGTGGTTCACACCTGTAATCCCAGCATTTAGGGAGGCTGAGGTGGGGGGATCACTTGAGATCATTTCAAGACCAGCCTGGCCAAGATGGTAAAACACATCTCAACTAAAAATATGAAAAAAAAAACTTAGCTGGACGTGATGGCGTGCACTTGTAGTCTTAGCTACTCAGAAGGCTGAAGCAGGAGAATAGCTTCAACCTGAGTGGCGGAGGTTGCAGTCAGCCAAGATTGCACTCCTGCACTCCAGCCTGGGCGACAGAGCAAGACTCTACCTCAAGAAAAAAAAAAGAGAGAGAGAGAGAGAGACAGAGAACTGGGAAATGGAACAAAGGTAAACAACTGTTTTCTAATGCCTCTGACTGCAACAGACAGAGACAGGAGCTGCTGCAGACACAACGTGCTTACTTACCAGTCACCTACCTTAAAGTAGCTGGGAAGCTGTGTCCACCAATGGAAAAGTCCTGCAGTTTCCCAGCAAGAATCTCTGTGTACCAGACTAGAGCTTCAGTGGTTGACCTGAAGATCACACTGGGATTCCCTGGTTTTTGCTCTTCCAGTTCTTCCAATGGTTACCTATTCCTGGCATTTAATTCTCCTCTGCTTGAAATGCATTGAGTGTTTCTTGCTTGTGTGTGTGTGTGCATGATGTTGTAAAATACATATTTGGTATTCATCCCATTTCCTGGCATACAACTCCTAAAATCCCTGGAATCTCCAGGCAGCTGCCTTTTGGTATGCTAATAGCTGATAGCTTCAGGGTGGGGCTGGTCACTGGAAAGGCAAAGCCATAATTAGGGAGTTGAGACTTTCGGCCCCACCCTCAACCTCTGGGTAAGGCAGAGGGTCAATGATCAGTGCTTGATCAATCATGCCTAGGGGGCCGTCCCAAGAGGATAGCTGGGCTGGTGGCTCACACCTGTAATCCCAGCGCTTTGGGAGGCTGAGGCAGGCAGATCCCTTGAGATCAACAGTTTGAGACCAGATTGGCCAACATGGTGAAAACCGTCTACTAAAAATACAAAAATTAGCTGGGTGTGGTGGCATGCACTTGTAGTCCCAGCTACTCAGGAGGCAGAGGCAAGAGAATTGCTTGAACCCAGGAGGTAGAGATTGCAATGAGCCAAGATCGTGCCACTACACTCCAGCCTAGACGACAGAGCAAGACTTCATCTTTAAAAAAAAAAAAAAAGCCGGGCGCGGTGGCTCAAGCCTGTAATCCCAGCACTTTGGGAGGCCGAGGCGGGTGGATCACGAGGTCGAGAGATCGAAACCATCCTGGTCAACATGGTGAAACCCCGTCTCTACTAAAGATACAAAAAATTAGCTGGGCATGGTGGCACGTGCCTGTAATCCCAGCTACTCAGGAGGCTGAGGCAGGAGAATTGCCTGAACCCAGGAGGCGGAGGTTGCGGTGAGCCGAGATCGCGCCATTGCACTCCAGCCTGGGTAACAAGAGCGAAACTCCGTCTCAAAAAAAAAAAAAAAAAAAAAAAACCCAAGAGGACAGTTTTCATACAGCTTCTGGATAGCCGAATACATGGAGAGTGGCACGTGCAGAGAGGGCATGGAAGGTCCTTGCCCCTTCTCCCATACCTACGTCGTCCTGTGCATCTCTTCATCTGTGTTATTTGTAATATCCTTTTTATAAAAAATCAGTAGACTTAAGTGTTTCCCTGAGTTCTGTGAGCTGTTCCATCAAATTAATCAAATCCAAAGAAGAGATCATGGAAACCCCAACTTGAAGCTGATCCATCAGAAGTTCTGGAGGCCTAGACTTGTGACTGGTGTCTTGGGGACTGGGCCCTCAACCCTTGGGATCTGACGCTATCTCTAGATAGAATGTCAGAATTGAAATGGAGGGCACCCAGCTGGTGTCTGCCTCAGAACCAACTGCTTGCTTATTGGTGGGGAGAAATCCCCATGTATTTTGGAATCACGGAAGTTGTCTTCTTCTTCTTCTTTTTTATTGGCATGGAGTCTTGCTTTGTTGCCCAGGCCAGAGTGCAGTGGTGCCATCTCGTCTCACTGCAACCTCCACCTCACAGATTCAAGCAATTCTCCTGCCCCAGCCTCCAGAGTAGCAGGGATTACAGGCACATGCCACAACACACAACTAATTTTTGTATTTTTTTAGTAGAGACGGGGTTTCCCCATGTTGGCCAGGCTGACCTCGAACTCCTAACCTCAAGTGATCCACCCGCCTCAGCCTCCAAAAGTATTGGGATTACAGGCACAAGCCGCTGCGCCTGGCCAGATCATGGAGGTCTTCTGTGTTGATTGTTGTAGTGTGGTGTGAGAGCCGAGGAAGCACAGTTACAGTGTTTTTTCAAAACAGTTGGTTTTCCTGAACAAACCTAAACAGAGGCTATAATGTAAGCCAAAAGCAGATTCAGGAGGGCTTAATGTTTGTGTGAAAAAGGCAAGAGATTCCTGACAGACACATTCACTCTCTGCCGTTGCATGAGCTTTCAGGGTGTTTTTTCCTTTGCCTCCACTTTTGTTCCTCCGCTGCCTGTTCTGCTGCAGTACAAATATTTTGTCCTGAGCCAGCTTCCACCTCTTATTCAGAAGTCTCATTAGAATATTCTTATGTGAAGTTAAAGAGAATGAAGACTTAAAAATAAGAAGAAAAAAGGCAAAGAGAAGAGGATGAAGAAACCCAAGTTTATGTTGTTAGAATCTGGTGGACAATAACATAACAAACTTGGTGACCTTTCAGGAACCATGGCCCTAGAAATGAATCATGGGGCCACGTGCGGTGGCTCACGCCTATAATCCTAGCACTTTGAGAGGCCAAGGTGGGTGGATCACCTGAGATCAGGAATTCAACACCAGCCTAGCCAACATGGTGAAACCCTGTCTCTACCGAAAAATACAA